GCCTGATTCTGCGCCAGAGGAATACAAGAAACTTGCCGAGCGGTGTTGTGATGCTGATCCTGATAAGCGTCCAAGTGCAAGGAGACTTTTTAGCGATCTTTGCAATCTTACTCTCAATGTGAAAACGGATATATCTGGTAACAACGTGTGGAATACTATATATCATAATGATGCAAACCCGCTATCACGTCTCGAGAAAGAGAGTAAATACTCTAGTAAATTCTTATATACTGGAGATTTGCCTAAACCGAGAAATAGTTATGATTTGGATTCAGCTATAGGTATGTTACGCATTGTATAAAGTCAATTTACAATGTTAACACCGAGCATTTCTTGTATTTAGAGACTCAACCTCTTTTTGAAGACTTTTAATTCAGCGGGCTTATTTACAGTATACAAGCTTTATCCAATAGTTACAATAAATATGATATGCTTCCTACTTTTTACATATGTTCTCGACAAAGTACGATTAATACAACTTTATTCATTATTTCCAAGTTATCCCGGCAAGTACTAAAAAGTATTAGTGATTTTTTTCGATCATGTTAGTTACTATAATTTGTATACAAAGGTTATGATATATTTAGTTTCGTTATTATTTTAAGGCTACAGTTTAATAATTACAGTATTGATGTCACATACACTCATCGGAAAAAAGTATCGGAAATTTATTTTTTTTTTCAAAAAGCGCTGCTGTACGTATTTAGTATTTACTATGTAGGTCGCAAAGACTTTTGTACCATATGAAGATAACTAGTTGTACTTTTCGAATATTTAATCCCTTACTGAAGTGTAGTTTAATAAGTGAACAGTATCTAAGGTAGAGGGTAATTGGCGAAGTTAAACTTTTTACTAAGTAAAAATTTTCTTGAGCAATTTATAACTTTTGATGTTCAGATGCATGCAAATAGAAAAGAGATGTAAAATAGAATTGCTATAAAAATCGTCGTTCCGTAAATAGTCTTTAAAATTGAGATTTTAGGGTTTTAGGGGTAATTTGACGAATTCAAATCTATTATTATTTTTTTGGCGCACTATTTTAGCATCTTTTAAAAGCACGAAGAGTAGATTCAAAATCTTGTGCTATGCTATTCAAACTTGGACGTTTGGTACCAGCAGGATAATTTTCTAACTTGTCATGTGCAGCACATGTCGCTTAATGTAAGCAGCTTCCATGATAATGATAAGTTATTATGTTTTAATGTAAAATCATAAAATAAAACGGTAGGTTGCGCGGCGAGCAATGCAGCATCATGGTAAATTCTATTTGTCGCGCGGGAGACATACCAAATCTAGTAAAATGTATGTAGCTATAGTAAATGTCATATGTAATTATAGCTGAAAAATGCTTTAGTTTAATGAAGTACGATTGCGATGACTATAATCTTCTTGAATTTGATCCTACTGAAAGTGAACCGTAATAATACAACTTGTCCCTTACCGACTGTATTTGAACTCGGTTTTATTTTGGGGATCTTAATAAGACATTTTGAACATATACAGTATATCCACTCAGATGATGCATTTGCCGTAATAAACTCCTCTTCCTTTCCGAAATAAAAAAAAAGAAAAAGAAAAAGAAACGATTTATCGTACCTCTAGTATTGTTTGACGTACAAGTCCAAAATCACATCTTACAACGGATTATCGAGTTGTTGGTGTAAGAGAGTGGATACTAAGATAAACACATTAAAAACTAAAATCAATTATGAGCGTATAAAACTCTCTGTTCGATATAACGGACAAAAGTGCTGATCCAAGAAATACGGTAATTGTTGTATCTTATTGAATGATTATGAAAACGTCGATTCTATTCTAGGTAAGAAATAAAATGATGGCTATTATCACAAAGCGAGGATGAATACATTATTTATATTGTCAAGAATGTGGCAAAGTATTATGTTAATGTAGTTGATACAAAGCTAATGTATATTCTCCACCGAACATTAGATACAACCTACGCAATTTATGTAAGCATTCATGCGGAATTTACATGATGTGAAATGTCACGCAAGTATTTAGCTCTTTTAATTTCTGCGCATCCTGGCAGACATTCCAACTTCCATTGCCTATTCTCCTCAGGCTGCGCATATTCAACGTTCCGAATGACTAACAACATAGATATCGCCGAAACCATTGCTACCATAGACAAACACCTCGAAAGCCATTATGGCTTTGACGCAAAAGAACTCGTAATGAAACATCCACCCCGATGGACATGTCATAACAAGAGATTAGTTTACAATTTATCATGTCCCGATGCGCATGATTCGTTTCGAGGTAAGTTAGAATATTCGCGCTGGAGACAGTTTAAACTTCCGAAACAGATAGACAAACGAGAAATGGAAATTGAAATAAGAGATGACATGTTTGATTATGTTCCGCCTGAGGATGATAATACCGTCGTGTGGTATTTGAATTTTGCTGATTGGTAAGTAAACTTATGTAAGATTGGAATGAAACTTACCTCTACCGAAAAGTGATTAGGTGGTTAGTTATTAAATTTGTTCATTTTCTGCTTTTTCTCCTTCATCAATAGTCACGTCTTTGGCTATTACTCTGGCCGTCTTTTAGCTCAAGACGAGCTCCAATGTCTCGAACATCCAGCCCTCTGCTCACTCCGTGAATCTCTCAGCAGTACTCCATTCTCATCCGCAACCCTTACAACGATTCACACAACCGATGGATTAACTCTCGCAACACCGATCCTGATCAGAGGAGTACAACGACGCTGTCGAATCAAAACTGACCGTAATGATGCTGAGGGACGGTATGGCGGATTATATGGAAATCAGTTTGCCATCGCAAAGCCCGAGGTTGTAACTAGAGCTACCGAATTGTTTGATAAGAGAATAGAAAACGATGGGAATGAATATTTTAGCAATATTATCGCAATGGAAGCGCCAAAATATGGTAGTGGACATTACGGATATGGGACTATAAAGAAGATTTTGTCGACAGCATATACGGGATTCCTTGCTGCACGATATGAGAGTTTGGTCGAGAAAGGCGTGTTGCTTAGATCACACGATCCTAATAACCAACATACTACCCATAATCCCGATACTGCTGCTTTTCCAAAAGTCATTATTCACACAGGTAATTGGGGTTGTGGTGCTTATGGTGGATCTATCCCTATCATGGCCACATTACAGTTCTTTGCTGCGTTGGTGGCCGGAGTAGACAAGGTTGTCTATCATTCAGCCGGTGTTCCGAGTAAAAGACAGGCGATGCATGGACTGGATGTGTACACCAAGTATTTAGATAGTTGTGAGGAGACTGTGGATATCGACAAATTTGCAGCGGCTGTAGAGAAGATGAAATTCCAATGGGGGTTCAGTAATGGGACTTGAGCAAAACGGTCGTGTGAATACGATTGGAATAGATGTTTTTGAATAATAAATTATTTGTACTATTAATAAACCATTTTAAGAATGAATGCATTTTTCTTTGGCTATACGTGTCAGTAATACGCAAATAGCGTTCCAAAACCTTTGATATAAACGGCAGCAGCAAAGAGAATTAAATGATCCAAGCAATGCGGATATGTGATTATTAGGAACAGGTCTAACACTTGAAAACGTCCAACTTGTTTCTATTGCGACCACATGATTTTGGAGGGCGGAGGACCAATCGCCTACATGGTGCAAGTGAATGAATTCATCATTCGACAGAAGGATCTCGCAAAGAAAAGACTGTGTGCAAATGCACTTTGTCAGTTGAGATTTGTTTTCTCTTACACGCTATTACGTCATGATCATGTTTCAAATTAAAAGTAAACCGGATTTAAAATCTATCCAATAAGAACGCGTGGAAAAAGTCACATTCGATCATTGAAGACAGCATTCAATTCACGTTTACGCTCTAGCAAGTTGTGAATAAAAGATGATTAATATATTATTGACAAACCCCTTTCACCTACGATTTTTGATCTCTAAATGGTCAAGTGTAGACGTTTTACATTTGTAACCTTTTTGATCTAAATTGTCCGTGTCGGAAGAAAGAAACTTATTTAGGAAGAGAGAAAGTAATAGGAATGTATGTATTATTAAGGGTCATGATAGTAGGATGTAAAGACGGCTATGATTACGTCTTCAACTTAATATTCTTGATATCCATTGTTGTAGCCACCATGCCCGTCATTGTTGTAGCCACCATGTCCGGCATTGTTGTAGCCACCATGTCCGTCATTGCTGTAGCCACCACCATATCCGTCTTGTCCAGGATATTCTTCTTCAACGTCCCTCACTTCCCAGACATGCTGTTTGTTTCCAACGCTGAATTCCAAGTCCTCCTTTGTAATAGAATCCCAATATTTGTATACCATCATCACTGCTAAAAGAGTTCCAATTGTTCCGAAAAACAAGCCATCTATGTAATGTTTAGCGTGGTCGCATATTTTAACAGAGAATGCATATAGAGACGCCTGACCGACTGCATAGAATGCAACTCCGAACGCTATATCACCAAGTGGCCAGCGATCATCAAGAGTATTGAGAACCAAAAATATTTGAAGACAAATGTATAGTGCAATTGCACCACCGTTGAATACGTATAGCACAATCCAGAGCGGAGCTGGCTTCAAGGCGTTGAATGGTCCTATGTTCCGGAATGTGGCAACAGACAGGCCAGTGGCACAAACGAATACAAACAGGGAAGAGAGGCGGATTGTCTACAAGTTAAAAAAAAAAAGAATATATCGATTAATTAACTCGGTAAGATAAGACTATAGAGGATATAATATGACGTAATAGTCGCAAATCTAATTTTATGGAATGTGGTAGCGCAATGCATAACAGATTTGTTTGGTACATACCCAGAGTGATTTTGCGGTTCCATCCTCGAAAAATTGATATCCAATGAATCCATTGACAAGCAAACACCAGACCGCTGATGTAATTAAGCCGGTATGAATTCCAGTCATGTACTGAAGAATACCAAAAATGTACCGTGAGTTTTGAAATATAACATTCGGGGCGAAACGATATTTGATAGTTTCGGGGCGATGCATTGTGTAGTGTACAAACTTACTATGTATGCATTCGATGCAAGTGGGACGATTCCAGAGACGAGTAGCATCTCAACTACTGTTAATAGCAGATATAAGTAAAAAAATAGGACCATCTCTCTACGACCTTTACATAAACGCGAGAAATCGAGTTAAACGAAAAATCCCATTGTGTGAAATGCATTGAGGGAATTGATACTGTGTAATTAAAAGATATAAACTAACCAACGGCAGTATACTTTGATCGGATATGAATTATCATAAGTGTCGTCATCAATAATGCCACAACATGGATGATAATCGTTGCTGTTAAAAGAGAAAAAAACGGGTCGTTTATTTATGGAAATTGCAAATTTATTATTCAACGTTTCTCAGCTTATCAGCTTTACCTGGTTGAAAAATCAAGGTTCCCTGAAGCTCAATACCCCTTGAATAACATGTTGGTTCCAGACCTAAATCAGCCCCAACAAGCGGACATACCGTTAATGCGACGGTCTTACAGATTCTATTAAAGTCTCCGAATTGGGCCATCTATGCGCCGTATAATATGTATACTCTTTCTATTTGACGTTTATTTACAGGAATGGATGACCGGAAAGAACACGTTTGTAATAGTATAAGAAGATGAGGAACGAGAAGGAATAACGAGAGAGTTGTGTTAAATGATTTTGTTTGGGGATTGCTTTACCCTACTATCACCAAAAGAATGAAAAAAAAAACAAAAAAGAAAGTTAAAGGAAAGGAGGGAAGGAATGTGTGGTGATTGTAGGAATCGAAAACAAGGTTGAGAGAGTATAACTAATAAAGAACGTAAACTCTCAATTAAGTATCATCATACTGTTCTACAAGCCCTACGAAAGGTTGTATGTTATGTATATGTATTACTTGCATATTGATAATATCCAAATAAAGAAAGCCTTGCAATGCCAACCATCTACACGTGACGATCTCGTAACGTTACACGAAATTGTATTAGTGTATAGTTTTATTTTTTGCAATTATTATTATAGGAAAGCCACCTCGTCCAAGAACGACCATTCAGAACACAACGAAACACAAGAGAAGCAATCTCGGAAACGCGTCAGCATGTCTAATGTTTTTCTTAGTATACTCCAATCGTTTATTATCTGTTTGATTACATTCTTTCTATCAAGTTATTATTTCACCGAGACATGGACTTGGGGTTATCAAAATAAGTGGACGAATTGGAGAACCTACATTCCTGTAAGTATTTTCAATAAAAATTCTGTTACATGATGTAATGCGAAGAATTTATCCTCTACCTTTTTTTCCCCTTTTTTACTTTCAGGCTCATCAGATTACGTTCACGGTCGAAGAATTAGCAAAATATGATGGATCTGATCCTAATCTACCCATATATATCTCTCTCTTGTAAGTGGATTTGGGATGCACGTTTGACTTTGTGTTAATTGAACGGGCTTGATAACTTGTAGACTTTTCAAACAGTGGTGAGGTGTTTGATGTATCAAGCGGTGTGGCTTACTATGGCAAGGTATGTCCATTTGCGTAAGAAATAACAAAAGTAACCGATAACCTCCCTCTAAAGAAGTTGTAAGAATAAGGCGACAGGTTTATCCTTTTGTCAAAAAAGTTTTTTTATTCAAAGGGGATATCGCATTTTAAACCCTTGTGTATATTGGATTTCTAACATGTAAGCACATGTCCCATCATCAAGACTCTAAATTGGGACAACCTTTTGAACGACATGTGACCTTTGATCAAGGATGTAGGAGTGAGTAATGCAATTTTTACAGAGGAAAGGTGTTGGTTACTTTTGTCCTTCTCGAATAGCAAGGCTCCTGGATGTTTCTAGAACGGAAGAATATTCTCACTACGACTTGCCGTTTAGGGATCGGGATATAACGCTTTCGCCGGTCGTGATGCTACAAGAGCCTATGTAACCGGTTGTTTCAAGACGCATCTAACTCATGATCTCAGAGGCTTGACCAAGGAAGAATTGAAAGTAGGTGGCTGTAATTTGACGAGCAACCCCCGGGCGAGGTCTTTTGTTCATCTATCTCTATTTCGACAATGTTTTTAGTCGTTGGAAGGATGGTTAGAATTCTATAAGAATCACCATAGTTACTATAAAGTGGGCAATGTTGCGCTCCCTCCTATAGATCCAAATACTCCAATTCCAGAGCCATGCAATGACAACGTAGGGCAGAAGAGCTAGCGTTTGATTTTCCTGACGTTTGAACCAATTCATCAAATGACCAAAAAAGACAAACTCGATTTAATTTATTAATGTTACTTTGTGCAATAAAGGCAAACATTCTGTCGTAGCAAAACATTATTTTATTATGCATCAGGTTCAATTGTAGTGCCTCTTTTAATTTTACCCCAACCAATTAACCTGATATAAGAAAAGAACGCGTGAGTTATGTGTATTTGAGCTGTTGTTAATTGCACAATATGGCAAATAAATTGCATACCGCCAATGCTTATCGATTCTTCTCGATAGAGCTATTTTTTCATCAATTTCAGTACATGCAGGACTCGTCAGCAGAATCTTTGCCAAGTCAGCCTTCACACCGACTACGCGTCCACCCGTCGACGTAGATCCAATGTTCACCATTAATACTTCGTTTCTTTCGAGTTTAGTTACCTGTGAACAGTGACCAAAAATGTCATGTAACGTATTTCTCACGGAAGCAGCACAGAACACGCAAACACACCATTGCAATTACCTTTGTTTGTTTTTTATCGTCCGTCTTAACACCTAGTAGCCTTCGAAGTAGGAAATAGTTTATCTCTAATTCTGTATAGATTTTGGGTAGTTTACCAACCGCACCGAGCACTTGACCGACCAAACGATCCGCTCGACACAGTGTCGGGTCAATTTTGGTGCCAACACCTAATTTAACGATGAACTCAATTTATTCACTGCGAATTCTATTGCAACAATAAAATAGTGTCTTAATAAAATACCGATTAATCCCCCGGGAACAGCAAATTTCAAGTCATTATGCTCCGCGAGCAAAGACACGATACGGGAAAATATAGGCCGACAATGAATCTGTCCGTCATTGTCCTTTTTTAGAATTCCCGGTCTTACTTCAATCTCGTCACCAATCTTAATGATGATAGGCGATATAATTAAACATATGGAAATATACGTCGTTTGTGAAATATATAACGTTTTTTTTGTGCGCAAATGTTACCTTTAATACACCTCTTAATATCGAGCCTCCCGCCACTCCGCCTTTCAAGTCGTCTACCTCAGCACCAGGCTTATTTACATCAAATGAACGAATTACAATCAAGCGGGGATCTGATGAGAAATCTCGTACTGGAATCGGGATTCTTTTTACGATATATTCGTTAATAACGTCTATATTGTATTTCAATTGCGCAGAGATAGGAATTATCGGTGCTCCATTGGCAACAGTCCCTGAGTAAAATATTGAGTTAGCTACACAGTTTTGATATGATCTTGTAAAAACCATTCAGTAACCAAGAAAACGGTTTTAGACTCTACCTTTCACAAATGATAATATGCTCTGATAGTGCTCTTGGCAAGCAGCCTCTCTGACCAGATCAACTTTATTCTGCAGAATAATAATATGTTTCAACTTCATAATCTCAATGGCAGCCAAGTGCTCGCTCGTTTGTGGTTGTGGACAAGTTTCATTTCCCGCAATCAATAAAAGGGCTGCGTCCATAACTGCTGCCCCGTTCAACATAGTGGCCATCAGAATATCGTGACCAGGACAATCGACAAACGAGACATGTCTAAAAAAAACACATAAGGAATTTAAGGCATTAGTCAAAACTCTATCTCGACTTGTATCGCTCCGTTTGTTTGCTTTTTAATAATGCGATCTATGTATGACTTGGATAGTTACAGCGAAATAATGACCGACACGTCAACATATTATCGTCTATCCTCGCCATATAAAGAAGCGTGATCAAACCTTAACAGTTTCATTCTCCCATCACAGCCAGGTCGCTCACATAGCGGGTTATCTTCCTTATCACTTCTATACGATTTGTAACACCCAGGTCTTGGACACGCTTCGTTCTCACATTTATAAATCTAAATACAAGTACCGGTCTAATTGAATCATCCCCTTATAAAGTACATTACACACATCCACGAAAATCGTACCTTTGCGTTAGCATACCCTAATTTGATCGTAATATTCCTTTCTAATTCATTCTTAAATCGGACTGTCTATCTCAATTGAATAACGAACATTCAGATGAATCATTATACCACTTGAACAAAAAAAAAAGAATATCAAGAGTTGGAAATCAAAGTTCAAAAACCAAAAACACACAATACCTGTACACCCGATATGGCCTTTACAACCGTAGATTTACCATGAGCCACATGACCGATAGTACCTATAATGAAGGATTAACACAAGACATGTCTGTTATTTTCTTGCGCACTCTGACATTTAACGCGTGCGTTAAAAATGCTCACCGATATTGATTGTAGCCTGGCGAGAAATCACTTCCGGAGAAAGTGGATGCAAAGCCTCAAAATCAATATCTGCTGGCGTTTCCGATACAGAGCCAACCGCGGTTGCTTCAGGGTTTTCCTCAGTGTTGCCTTCCGCTGCCATATTTTTTATAACAAAAGAAAAATTCAAAAAGTGGCGATGAAGAAAATATTGGTTTTTATGACTCATTCTTGTAAATTTCAATTCTGATTCGCCAATACCGACAGTTGAGTTCGTATTACGTTAAATACTGTGCACACATATTAGTGTTTATTTAATTAATTTAATATTAAGAGTTCTTAAATTAAAAGATTTTCATAGTAACAGGAATAAAATCTCCGCTAACTCCAAATAAAGCAAAATTTATCAAACACTTATGAGCCATTATGATATTAAAAAGTATTTTTTTATTAATGACTTTCTCGGCCGCATCACCAAATTTCGCCCGAGTTAAAATTTACTCATACTTGTAACTTAATTCTGAACATAATAAGAAGGAAGTTTATGCAGTGTAATTCGTGCCTTTCCTCTTTAAGCCTGCCGCAGTTCGAATAGGTCAGAATTTCCTACCGCTCATTCAATTGCGGATTCTAATTTATTATGCACTGTGCTGTTAACCATATCCAATGAACGTACTTTGCCGCCTCAATTCCCATCTTTGGCCCTTTAAAATGCAAATAAACTCTATTTCCTTGAGGTAAATTTGAACTTTTTGTAAGAATAGTTAAGTTTGCTATCTTGCAATTGGACGCTTTAGTGGGGTTTTGTTCTTACTGCGTATATTTTGCCCGCGAGATCGATGGACTATAGAATTAGCAACAACAGTTCTTTGGCACATTCTACGAGTTCGAACAGAATGTCTATTGTTCAAGAATTAAACAAAGCTAAAGTACCTATAATTCAAACTGACCCGCCCGTTTATCAGCTTTCAACAAGGTCTTCAGGTAAAAAAAAAAAGAATAGGATTCCTGCGCGCATATATACGTCGTTTAGCGTATTTGACTGTTTTAATCATTCAATAATGGTTTGCTTTATATTAGTTGACACTTGCTTTAGAATATTAAATCAGAATCCGCTTTGGCCAACAAATTATGTTGGATTTGATACCGAGACAACAGTCCGAAGAGCCATCCATCGCGGCTTGGTATCACTGATACAAATTGCAACACGTGAATTCTGTCTCATATTTCAAGTGTACAGAATCACTCGAGGTGATGCTAAAAAGTTTCCCAGAATCCTAATGGATTTCCTGGCGGACTCTCGTGTCCTAAAAGTGGGAGTGAATGCTCGAGGAGACGCAGAATGGTTAAAAAGATCATACGGCGTTGAAACAAGTGGAATTGTCGACCTGGATCAAATGGCAGGGGAGAAGGGAATAACCGCCGGTTCTCTCGCAGAGCTGGCACTCATGTTTGCTGACAGTGGATTCGTATTAGACAAAACGAAAGATTTATTAAAGTGGAATTTTGATGCAGCTCACCTGAACGCAGAGCTCATAAAGTATGCTTCGTCTGATGCATTTGCTGCAATACAAATATACGAGAATATGCTCGTTGGTAAACGAAATCCTGAATACAAGTCTTGGGAAGAACGAAATCCCATGACGCGAGAAGAAGAAGAGGCTGAATTATATAATACGATCAAGAGACAGCATAAGAAAGGAGTGGTAAGACACGTTCATATTTACTTGTCGTTTTGATATCTGTTCATTTATCGCCAGGGGCAATTGAACTGAGCAAATTGTATTTCGAATTTGCGATATGTTTCTAGGTGGTTAAAATAGAAAAGTTAATCAACGCTGTAACATATGGACGTTGGCAAAAAACAAAACCTGATCCATTGGATCGTAGGCGAGCGACAATTGCAGCTATCAACCGTTATTTATCCGATGGCCGGCTTGTTCTTGAAGACTTTGATGGCTCAGCAGGTTCTGTCGATTCACTTGACGAAGAGCAACTCATTAATCTTTCTGTCAAACTCCCAGGTGTTGCATTGGACAAGCTGCTATTAGAGGTTCCCGATGCAGACGGATTTTTCAGTAGAAAAGGACTCGACCATGAAGGTTGCAACTTTATCAAAAAGTGCTCTCCATCACTACACAGATCTTTTCGTAACAAGGCTTTGATACAGTTATATAAATCTTCTGTGTCTTCTGAAACGAGCGAGCATCATATTATGGAGATTATTAACAAATTGAAACGATGTAAGGCACTAAGACCACTTGGTGATACTGGCTCATTCGAGTTCAATTCCGAATGGTTGGAAGAATTAGAGCAAATCAGGTGTGCTCAGGCAAAGACATGAAGAACGATATATACGGCTGACGTTTGGATAGAATTTTTGTTTGCGAGCGTTCAAAGTGTTTGCAAATTTTTTAGACATTGAGGGACTATTTTGAGTCTGGTTAACGGGTAGCAATGATGGCAGGAGATGATAGAAGTTTAATTGAACACTAGACAGCCAATGCCGGAACCAATCATAGGTACCAGCCAAAAGCTTAATCTAATAAAAAAAGTTTAATTATTCCACCTTCTTTAGTTTGATGAAGATGTTTCCAAAATGGTAGAGAATGTATCCTTTTGCCGTTATTATTTGACCAGATGGAATATATTTGTATTCCTTACTTAATGTGGTTATTAATCACTATAAATTATATTTAGTAATTGCAACGAAGTTTAATCTTTTCGGCTTTCGTACTACCAGATTGCCAAGTTCTGTTTTGGTACTGTGTATCAATGAAATACACTTGCCTGTTTAAAAAAGCGATCCGCGTTAACGTTATTTGATATTTGATTTAATATTAATTATTAATTGCTCTGTACTGTCTATCCAATCCAACGGGATCAAGTTGATGACGATAGTATACAAATATAAACTATCAAAAATATGACATCTCTGAATACGTATTTAATGAACTGATATTCGGTTTGGCATAGTACACAATTTTCGAAAATAAATCAATAAACGGTTGTATAACAATAGTCAATAAAGTGGAAATAAGCATTTCGCTCATTCACTATATTTGATGAATAATGCTTCGCCTATTTTATTATCAGCAACCTCATTAACATTAATTAATGTCATAGATACAGAAATAGATGAAAAGAAAAGAATATGATGTTCAAAGACCGGCACCCGTTAATAAATGTCCTATATCAAGAAGAGAACTGACGCTTGAAAAATCCTCGGCATGTTTTACACCCCCACCTCTGCGTGACATATCATTTGACCGCACAAACATATTGAGTCACGAGACAGCGTATTTCAATAGCAAACACGAATTTATCGTTCGATTTTTCTAAATAGTATTACTTTTGTCGTTAGATGAAACAATCATGCACTGATTTCATTCTTTGTGTAGTTCGAGCCTA